CGTCTCCACGGCCGAGTCGGCGGCGCAAGCCGAGCTGCGCGCGGCCAAGGAGCGCGCGGCGGCGGCGGAGGCGGAGGCGTCGCGCGAGGCGGCCGGCGTGGAGCGGGAGGCGAAGGAGCGCGTCGACGCGGCGTCGGGCACTCTCTCGGCCGCCAAGGCGACGTCGCGCGCGCTCGAGAATGGGATCAGCGAGCGGGAGACGGCGCGGGCGGCGACGCAGAAGGAGTACGACGGCACCTTCATCCTCCGCTTCCAGAAGCGCGGCCAGCTCAAGGACGAGGTGGGAGATATGCGGAGAGATGCGGAGAGATGCGGAGAGATGCGGAGATGTGGGGAGATATGCTCAAGGGCGGGGCGGGCAAGGCTCGCGAAGGAGGCTTCCCGAGCCCGCCCCAGATGAGCCGAGCTCTGCGCTGCAGGTGAGCCGGCTCAAGAAGGAGATCAAGGAGGAGGCCAAGAAGCTCGAGAAGGCGGACAAGGCGGTCGAGCAGGCGAGCACCGCCTTCGACAAGCAAAAGGCGTACGCGGACAAGCAGCAGCAGGTCGCGAGCCCGCCTCCGTGCCGCCGAGATGTCGCCTGTGGGAGAGAGGAGAGCGACGGCGAGAGAGATGCCACGAGGGGTGGCGAGGCTCCCTAGCTCAACCGACGACCCTCGTGCCTCGGGATCGACGGCCGATCGTCACCCCCCTGTCGCGTTCAGTCCCTCTCCGCGTGCGATGCGAGATGTGGGGAGATGTGGGGAGATGCGGGAGATATGGGGAGATGTGGCCCCCTCGCCGCGTGCGATGCGCCCTTCCCCCCTCTCACCCTTGCAAACTCCCGCAAAGGTGGGGCCGTCTGTCCTCCTCCCAGCCCTAGTTCGGATGCGCGTTTTTCTTTGTTAGGTCGCGAGCAAGCTCCGCGCCGACGCGGCCGCCGCGGGCGAGAAGTCACTCGCCGCCGCGACGAAGAAGGCCGACTCGGCCGTGGCCGACGCCAAGAAGCAGGCGGCCGCGGCCGTCAAGGCGGCCGAGGGCAAGGCCAAGGCGCTTCTCAAGGAGGCGGACTCGCTGCAGGCCAAGGCCGACAAGCTGCGCTGACGTGTGCGTTGGGGCGTCGTGATGGCCCCCGTCTCTGTCGCGCGCGCGCGGTCGCACGGTTGCATGTGCATGAGGTCCATGTGTGGGGGGAGGCTGGCCTGTGTGATCTCCAGGCGTCGCGCCGCAGGCCCGCTCCACCCTCCATATTTTCCATCTCCCCCGATCTTACGTACACAAGGAGAGCCGTGTTTGCCGTAAAGGTGGTTAAAAGGTAAAACGGCCGTGAACGTGTCGCGCGTGTGGTGTGTCCGTGTGTCTGGGGGAGCCGGGAGAGCGGAGACGGACTCCTCAACGCTGGTCGACGCTCGATGGACCCGCCGACGGCACTCTCCGCACGGGCCGCTAGACGCTAGCGCTCTACTATCACCTGCGGCTCAAGAGCCAAGACGGACGCGTTTTGACCCAATCAAAATCTACCTCAAGGATTTTTTGCTGATCAAAATTTGCGGTGGCCCGGATCGAAACCTGTGCTTTGGCCAAGTGCAAGTCCCGGTGGCCGGTGGCGCGCAAACTGCGGCACGGACACAGGTACACCACACGGGAGCCACCTAATCGGACACAAGTACACCACGCAAAAGAAAGAATCCTTGCCGCTTTCTCGGCACGGTTCGGCAGCCACGTCCTCTTCCGTGCCGCCACGCAATGCTGGCTCGGCTGGCTCGGCTGGCTCTCGTGCCCAGGTCCTCCGACCCACGCACGCCAAGTGATGCATCGATGCGTCTCTCTCTCTCTCTCTCTCTCTCTCTCTCTCTCTCTCTCTCTCTCTCTCTCTCTCTCTCTCTCTCTCTCTCTCTCTCTCGCTGCGGAGATCGCCAACTCCTCTCCCGACGAAGCTGCCCTCCGTCATCCTGGATGCTGGAACACCTGCCGCAGCATGGCCTCGTTCTCTGCAAACAGGTACCCGCACTTCCTTCCCTCCAGCCACTTTCGCACTGCCGCCAGGCTCTGAGCTGGCTGCACGCGGCGAAGGGATCTGGCCTTTGGCCGCGGCAAAGTGCAGCAGCTTCAGCAGCGCTGCCTCGCTGCCCAGACCAGCGAGAGCCTTGGAAAGATACGGACAGGCCTCCAGCAGAGCGCCAAGGCGTTGAATGGACTGCTGCTCGTTAAGGGGCATGCAGTTGACGGCGAGGCGTGCGCAGGTGCCCTCCCAAGCAACGTCTTGAGACACGCTCGACCCGTACTTCGTACACGTCGCGCTCATGTTCGCCAACATCTTTGGCGAGAGGAGCTGGGGCAGACCTGATTTCATCGGGCGACTGGAGTCCATCGGCTCGGACTGGGACCGAATGTGCGCCCTTCACGGCTGCCCGGAACGCGTCCCGCTTGCGGCTCTTCGGCAGGGCCAGTGCCGCTTTGAAGGCGAGTTCAAGCTTGCCCTCCCGGACCGCCCACGGGACGAATGCATGGGTGCCACGCCCGTCGGCAGAGTCAATCTTGGGCAACGCCACAAGCACGCGACCGACGTACGCGGCAGGGTCCGAGGCGTGGCGATAACGCTCAAAGAAGAAGTCCATGCTCTCCTCGCTGCATTGCGATTTCTCCAGCCACGACAGCATGAGCTCCTCGGCCATGGCGGGCTCTTCGGGACACGTCCGGCACAGCCACTTTGCAAACACCTCTGGCCGAAAGGAGACGCCGCCGTGCAGGGTGTCATAGAGGGCAAGCATCAGAGGCATCGTGGGATTGGCCACGGAGGAACTGGCGCCCGAGCCGCCGCGGCACTCCTCCACAACCTCACGCATGCGGGCCAACTCGGCATCTTTTGCTTTGAGCTGCTCGTCGAACCTGCGCTTCTCTTCTGTCAGTTTGTGCGCTCCCTGCGACCGAATCGCCTCCTCTCGGGCGTACTCGGCGGCCTTGCGCCGATGCCATGCGTCTTCCTTTGCGGTGCCCCAGAAGCCGCTCATGCTCTGTACGAGGGGCGCTGCAACGCGCGCAACGCGACCTTCGACAGGGCGCTGCAACGCGCGCAACGTAGAACCCAAACTCATTAAACCCTCGCCCCGCCAAAATAACCTTGCGAAATCGGCGTTCGGAGGTTCTGCGCGGCGAATTCTGCGATGTATAGATACAACAAGTAGACTCGAGATGACGTTCAATCGACGGGCGCCGGAGGGTTGTTAGCGACCATGTTTGTGACCAACCCTTCGCTCCATCATGTTGCCTTCGTTGTTGGCTAGCATCACGATCTCGACGTCTCTCGACGGCCTCTCCCTGCGGCCACGGCATGGTCGCTCACTCCAACGGTCCGGCCCGTCGGCGCTCTCAGACTTTGAGGTGGGATGGACGCCTCGCCCGTCAGAGACGGAAGACAGTGGCAGCACCGATCAGCTTCAGCCGAGCCCCGAGCCGTGGCAGCCCGACGGAGGTGACGAGCGGCTCGCCAACGGAGGCTTCGAGGACCCGCCGGCCTGTGCAGTGCTCGATGGGTCATCCGTACATGCGACGGAATTGTCGCCTGGGCAGCTCCCGCCCCAACGCGTCTCGTGTCTCGAGTCGTACGTGTTGGACGTCATTCCGATCGTGAGCTCGCCTCCTGCCGGCACCTCGACGTAGAAGATTTTTTCGTTGCCGGAGCCGCCACAGGATGTGCGATACGTGTTGGGAGCGCCGACGGTGCTCGATGACAGCGGAGAGGTTTGAGTGGAGAGGTCCAGCGCCGTGTCGCAAGAAGATGGCCCGGGTGATGGCTCTGGCGATGGCGACGGCTCCATTCCCTGGTAAAAGTATACTGTTGATCCAAAAGCGCCAGGTGGAAGTCCGAGAGAGAGTAGAAGCAGTATGGAGGCCGAGGCGCGCAGGCGTATTGTCGTGATCCGCTTTAGCTTGCCCGAGTCCGCACCGCCCAGCGGCACACTCGGCGGCACTGACGACGGCATCCCAGGGCGCCGCAGCCCTTCCTCCATGCACCACCTGCCTGCTGGCTCGTGAGAGGGCTCCGATGCTGCCACCAATGTGGCCGCTGCGAGAGAATGTGACGTTACACTAGACGTTCGGAGGGAGAGGGGGGGGGGGGGGTTAGACGAGATTGGCCGCCGAGATGGGCCGCGATTTTTTGGCCCCTCACTGTAGTGAAATTCACAAACAGCGCACAACTATTCTGAGCGGCGCGCGAGCGGTCGCGCGGTCGGGATGCACTCCCCACGTTCAACTCCGCCCGGGGGCCCTTTGCAGCGACCAAGGAGATTCCTGTCTGTCCTCCCCCGTTGGCCTCCGGGCCAGAAACTCGGCCGGCGCGATGCCCGCGTCCTCGAGCATGCTCGAAAAGTTGACGCGCGCCGCGTCTGGTGGCGCGGCCAGCAGCGCCTCGGGTGGGCCCGCCTGCACGAGCGCGCCGCCCGACATGAGCAGCAGCTGCGTCGCGTCGCGGATCGTGAGGAGGCGGTGCGCAATCATGAGGACCGTCCCCGCGAAATGTCGCCGCACGGCCGACTGGATGAGCGCGTCGGTAGCGTTGTCCACGCTCGCAGTCGCCTCGTCCATGATGAGGACGGAGGTCCGCGCGAGAAGCGCCCGCGCGAGGCAGAGGCACTGTCGTTCTCCCTGCGAGAAGTTGCCGCCGTTGTCGACGACGTTGGCGTCGAGCTGCTCGGGCAGCGACCGCACGACTGCCTCGACGCTCGCATTGCGCAGCGCCGCCCACATCGCCCGATCGTCGTGCTCGCCAAGCGGGTCGAGGTTCTGCCGCAGGCTGCCCGAGAAGAGCAGCGGCTGCTGCATGATGAGCGCCAGCCGAGGCCGCAGCTCGTGCAGCCCGAGCCGGTCGGTGCGGACGCCGTCTATCTCGAGGTAGCCCTCGTGCGGCTCCGCCAGCCGGAAGAGGGCGGCTAGGAGCGACGACTTGCCCGCACCCGTCCGGCCGACGACGCCCACCAGGGAGCACGCAGGAATGTGAAAGCTGACCTGCCGCAGTGCCAGCGGCAAGCCCTGCCGGTACCGCATACTCACGCTGTGCGCAATAATCTCGCCAGCATGAGGCCACTCGGGCGGCGGCGGCGCGTCCGTCACGAGCGCAGCCTCCTGCGGCAGCGAGTGGTACGCCGCGAGGCGCTCGACGGAGACCATCTGCGTGGCGAGACGGGTTTGCTGAGAGCGCCGACGGGTGGAGGCGTTCATGGAGGTTGCGTGCAGTCGGTATGGTGAGCAAAAGGCCCCGGGGGGCATGGCTTGCGGTAGTTACGCGAGGCGGACTGGAGTCCGATGGGCAGTGGGGGATGAGGGCGCGCTTGTCAGAGACAGCCTTGGCTGCGGTCAATTGCGGCGTGGAGAGGTGTTGCCTGGTTCTCGAGCTCTGCCGTCTGGCGGACCGCCCACTGGAAGAGGCCCGCCAACTGAATGACGTACAAGAGCGCCGCGCCCACCAAGCCCGCGTTGTCGCTGACCGCGAGGCCGTAGGCCTTCGAGAGCACCGCGGCGAAGCAGGACGTCGCCAGCAACGCGAAGCTCATCATGTCGAGGCGGAAGCCGAGCCAGCGGCCGCCCGCCACAAAGTGGAAGAATGCGCGCGAGTTGGCATCGTGGAGCGTGTGGAAGCGCGCAAGCAGGTCACGCTCGATGCGGAAGGCGCGGATGGTGGCGAGGCCGCCGAGGCACTCGGAGAGGAGGGCGAACATGGGCGAGCGCGAGACGGCGTCGAGGCGCTTGATCTCGCGCGCGCCCAACAGGTAGAAGCGCCGCAACCTGCAGCCGAGTGCAACCGAGTGCAACCAGACACCGCCGAGTGCAGCCGAGTGCGTGCCTCCTCTCGAGTGCGGTGCGGAGCATGCACGGGGCTGTGTCCCCGCATCTAGGCCTCGAGGTGCCAGCGAAAGTAGCAGAGGAGGGGCGGCAGCGCGATGAGTGCCCACGGCGCCAGGGCGATGCAGAGCCCGACCGACGCGGTCACCATCAGCACGCACTGCATCGTGTCGTGGAAGGTCTGCGGGAGCATCGAGTCGCAAAAGTCGATGTCCTTTGAGAAGCGGTTGAGCAGCCGGCCGCTCGGGTTCGAGTCGTAAAAGACCATCGGCGCGCGAAGGAGGCGCTGTAGCGCGCACCGGTGCAGCTTGTCGGAGGCGGTCACGGCGATGTGGAAGAAGAGCTGTGAGCGGACGACGGCAAAGAGGACGGCGGCGAGCAGCAGGCCCGCGCATAGCCAGCTGTGGCGCGGTGCAGCTTGCTCTTCAGCGGGCAGCGAGCCCCAGTACGGCAGGTAGAGCAGGCTCGCCGTCGCGCACGCCTGGCCGCCCACCATCAGACAGACCGCAGGAAGCGCCGCCCGCCACCCGGCGGCGCCGGCCCACGTCCTGTACGTGCGCCACGTCACGCTGCCAACCTCGCGCTCCTCGCTCACCACCAGCTGCGACGGCTCCGGCGCGGCCGTGCCCCCCTCCTCGCCTCCTCCCCGCCGCCTCCCCGCCGCCTCCTCAGCCGCCGCCGCGCGCTTGACCTGCGAGACGATGGACGCGTCCTCAAGGCCCTCACCATGGCGGTCGCCTCCTCGCTGGCGTCGCTCCATTGCAGCCGCCGGCTCGGCCGCTGCCGCGTGCGAGGCTGCCTCTCGGATGCCGTCGAGCTCAGGCAGCGCCGGGTTGAGCGCCGCTAAGGGGGCGTCCGCCACCACCGCCCCTGACCGCAGCACAATCACGCGGCTGACGGCCGCGTGGGCGAGGTACTGCATCTGGTGCGTCACGAGCAGCCGCAGCGACCCCTTGAGCACGCCGCAGATGAGCCGCTCAAAGACCTGCGCGCCGACGTGAGGGTCCACCGCCGACAGCGGGTCGTCGATCAAGTACGCGTCAGCACGGCGATACGCCATCCTCGCCAGCCCAAGGCGGGCGCGCTGCCCGCCGCTGAGCGCGATGCCCCTCTCGCCCACCACAGTCGCGTCGCCAAACGGCATCCGCGCGATGTCGTCCTCGAGCATGCACGCGCGCACGACGGCCGCGTACCGCGCGCCGTCGAACCGCGGGGCGCGCAGCGTGATGTTCTCGCGCAGCGTGCCGCTCAGCACCCACGGCTCCTGCATTGCCACCGCCGTCGAGGTGCCCGGTGCGAAGGCGGTCGGCTCGACGCCCGGTAGCTCGCCTGCGGGCATGACTCGGACGCGTCGTGGACGTGTCAGGGACGTGCCCTCGACGCCCGGTAGCTCGCCGAGGAGCGAGAGGAGCAGCGAGCTCTTCCCTGCGCCAACCGCCCCGACGACGATCAAAAGCTCGCCCGGCGCGGCCGAGAGGCTGACGCCGTCGACAGTGGGAGCAGAGGCCGCGGAGGCGGCGGGGGCGGCGGTCGGGGCGGCGGCGTTAGACCAGCTCGCGCGCAGCGAATGGACGCTCAGCATCGCCGTCGGCGGCGCGACATCGTCCGTCAGCGCCGCCGTGCCGACGCCTCGCGCCGCGTCTGGGGCCGCGTCTTGGGCGCGCCGCGCCTCGGGGAGCTCGAGCAGGCGCTGTGTTGCAGAGGTGCGGAGACG